GTGTCCTATCTAATTCCAGCACTCCTTCCTGAATCCGTTCTGTACTGGAATCTGGTTTATCCTCTCACACAGTGAATTGTTTACTGATAATGTCTAATCAACAGATCCGAATTATTTTGCGTAGACGATTGTATCTTTTGGATGAAAGTTTTCGTAATTGTCCAAGTTTCCATCCCATACACCAGAACTGTTTTACACTAATTTACATATATATATATATATATATATATATATATATATATATATATATATATATATATTTGATGGGTTTTGTGGATATTACAGTGGAGTTCAACCACGACTGTTGTGAGATAGTAACTGACTGAAGATAATGGTGTATGTGTCGCTCAATTTCATGGATTAGTTGAATTTAGACATTAACAGCGTTGGATGCCAGTCAGCTCAGTGGTCTAAAGGTTAAGTGCTCTCGCGAGAAACCAGTAGGTCCTGGGTTGGAATCTCACAGGGAGGGGGCAAGGTCATGGATGCGCACTGCTGATGAGTCCCACAATAGGACGAAACGGTCGTTCACTTCTTCCAAGTTCTCCACGGTGTTCTAGTTGCAACTGACTCATGATCTTAATCATTGAAATATATATATTTCGTTAACTCACTATTCTATTCCCAATATTTTCTATCAACTCAACAAGTTTATCCATTTTCACATGATAAATGATTATTTTTCTTTCTTTTTTTTCTTTTTATCTTTTTTCTTTATCTTTTTTTTCTTTTTATCTTTAACTGAACAGTTTTTTTGTCTCATTTTTCACTAATATGATTATGTGAATTTCTATGTTATTTTAATGTTTATTTAATTCACATGTGAATAATAATTGAAATGAAAATAAAGTTTTAAATGACTAATATATACATGAACATACAAAGAAGTGTCTTATTCAAAGGAATAGAAATAGACTTAAAAGATCGTGGAAAGAATCATCAAACTGAATGAGTAGATGGAAGGGGAAATAAATAATGTTATTCATTAAGGAAATAGTTTTCCATTTTTTTAAATTATTCACAGAAAGAGAGAGAAAGGAGTGGGGGGGGAGGTAGGGGGAGACAATATGATTGCCTTTGGCATTACTTGAGTTTCATTTAGGCAATAGAATAGATTTCCATAAGTTGTTGACAATTGAAGCATTTCTTTTTTTATATAATAAAACAAACATTTTAGAGAACAGAAGTTATCTATTTTGAGAGATAATACAATGGATTCCGGTTCAATGGCTTAGAGGTTAAGCGTTGGAGTGTGAGACTGATAGGTCCTGGGTTCAAATCCTGTGAGGTGGGATCTTGGAGTATATCAAAAGGACGAGTTGGCCATCCAGTGCTTCCAGGTTTTCTGTAGTGATCTAGCTTCAACTGACCCATAATCTCAACGATTAAAATTATTATAATATCCAGAAAACTCCTTCTGATATTAATTAATTAATACTCACTAGTGACTGGCTTCGAGAGGAATTTTCTGAAGTTCTAATGAGAAGCAGTGACCAGTGGAGTTCAAGCGGATTTGTTGTGAGATAGTCACTGACTAAAGACAATGATGAATGGTCATGCAATTGCGTGGATTGGTTTAAATTAGACATTAACACCGATGAATGCCAACCGGCTCAGTGGTCTAGTGGTTAGGCGCTCTCGCGCTAGACTGGTAGGTCCTAGGTTGGAATTTCTTGAGGTGGCATCATGAATACGCACTTCTGACAAGTCTCACAATAGGATGATTTGGGCGTTCAGTGCTTCCAGGTTTTGTATGGTTGTCTAGCTTCAATTGATTCATGATCTCAACTATTAAAATTAAATTTTCGTCCATCACAAATATTTATATGGAATATTTGTAAAATGAAATGAATATTATTCTGTAATAACGTGCATTATCTGATCTGTAAGAACCCTAAAATAAAAGGGACTGTTATACAACTATCATATCTCCATCCCGAAGTTCATCTATAATCTTTATTTACTTTCCTTTATATCTAAATAATTGTGATGTTCATCTTAATGGTTATATCATTTTGTTACTGGTTTTATGTTCTACTATAACTATATGTGACAGCCTAAATAAACACATCAAATTTAAGATTCTATTCGATTTTCATTATGGCAGTTCATCTCTGAAGTAAGTATGAACTGTACATATTCAAGAGTAATGGTATTTAAATATTACAAATTAATCATAGATGTCATCAATTTCAAGTGATCTGAAGTTTTTGAAAACTTATCCAAGCGTTTCAGCTAGATATCTGGATATATAAGATTCTTACCTATTTATAATATCATTCTGAAATGGTATCGGAGATATAAAGTATTTTGAAATGATCCATAATGTTTGTCTTTCAGATGAATGTTTTTACTTGGTAGTATGTTACTAGATTGAATAGTTAGATAAAGAAGCTCAGTTTATCATTCTGCACAATATCACCAACATTAATTTAATTAAAATTGATGGTACTAGATCAGTCAGTCAGCTACAACGTGGGACCAGGCACATATATGTATCGGTCCAAGTTGCCATACCTCATTAACACAACAAGATGGACACCGGATTCATATAAGTAGTTAATTCAGTGGTGGTAATACATAAAAGAAAGATTGCATATAAGGATGTAGTACAGGAAGAAAGAACGATATGAAGCGATTTTAATCTCTTAGTTTGAGGGAAGACAGAGAGTGTATACACTTACACCATTGTGATAGATTTTGAGCCATGTCATTTAGAGTCTCCAACCATTGGTTACGATAGTCACACGGACCCCAACCAAGTAGTCTGCATCTATCAACATGGCTCAGATCAGAAGTTAGTGACTTGAAGCACTGATGCCACGATGGTACTAGATAATTTCTAAGAACATACTATTCAATTTAATTTGGGATTAATACACATTTCCAGTTTATTGAAGGATAAAGAAAAAATCTACCAGTTAGAATGTAGAGAGTTAGGATTTAGATTTATAGTTTTCATCACGAATTGACATTAAATATAATGCCAAAACTCTATTTAGCCATATGGATGAGTGAATTTCGCGTCAAAATGCGAGACCAGTTATCTTATACCTGATTGGTTCATCTATAAATGATACTCTTGTAGTGACCTACTTTTACCAAGAGAACGCAATGGGTTTAATGGAAACAATCATTATTATAACCAATTGTACCAGTGATTGTTTTACTGTGCTCGTTTGTTTAACTGTGCTAAAGACAGCCATATTACTACTCCATTACTCTCCATTACTTTCCTGTGGACAGTGACCTTGTACGCTTATACTCTCGCCCACTAATTCCGCTTGTATTTCTTTTAGCACGATCTCGGTATTGGTTCGATACCACGAGGTCGCCAACGAAATAAATCTGGTTACGCTCCATCTTCGCCTTCTGGTTTCTCTGGTACGCACTTTCTTGTAGTGGTGTTCATAGTCAATCGCGACTCGACTCCACGCTACACTCTCACCGAAAATAGTCGTTATTTATTATTTAGCTTTGAAGATATCCTATATATGAATAAGTTTAATAACCATTAAATAACATTATTATTATAAATAATCTTTTATAATTTATGGCTTTCAACTAAGAACTTCAAACAATTGAAATACTTTTGAAAGACTAATATTTGAATGAAGAATATTCTCTTCGATATATTCTCTTCCGGTTCTACAATTCATATATCCAAATTAATAATCCGAAAGATGGCTGAAGCAGTAGCCATCAAGATGAAGAAACCGGAGCTATATTTACAGAAGAAATATCTTCAATCGCTTCTCCCTCCTTAACCAAACTCAAGGCCAATTAATCAATAGTAATCTTAGTTATTGAATGACCTAATTTAACTATTATACTTACGACCTTTCGTAATCAAATGTAATTATCTTTGTTATCTAAAGATGAAGATATCATTATTTTCAGAATGAGTTTTGTGGAGATTTTAGTAAATTTCACAGGTTGAAATCATGAGTCAGTTGAAGCAACTGCTCACTAGTGACTGACTTCAGGAGAACCTCCTGGAGTTCTAGTGAGAAGCCGTCACCAGTGGAGTTCAACCAGGTCTGTTGTGAGATATGAGGTCACTGAAGACATTGGTGTTCGATGGCGCAATTTCGTGGATTGGTTGAAGTTAGACATTAACACGGTTGGATGCCGGCTCAGTGGTCTAATGGTTAAATGCTCGCGCGCGAAGCCAGTAGGCCCTGGGTTCGAATCCCGTGGGGGGGCGGGTTCGTGGATGCGCACTGCTGAGGAGTCCCATGCTTCCAGGTTTTCAATGGTGGTCTAGCTTCAACTGACTCATGATTTCAACCTGTGAAATATCATTATTTGTTAAACATCATTATTAATCTCTCCAATACATGATTCATTCACTTTGCATTCATCCCTCCTTATTACCTCTTACTAATTTATCACACAATATCGAATTGTAATTGCACTATTACTTACCTCTCTCACTCTCAATGACCCATATTTATTCGGATCATGGATCGTAAAACTTTCATCTAACATATGAGTTGATTCAAGTTAAAATATCAATAATAGCAGTTTTATTCTATTGTGTTTGCTAATCCTAAACTTAACATTCTTTAATTTCAAACGATGTGACCATTTTTTGGCTTTATAATTTGGATATATGAATTGTAGAACATGAATAGAATCTATCGAAAATAGTATTTTTCATTCATAAATTAGTCTTTTAATATGATGGGGATATTTAAACGATTGAAATACTTTTACTTAAAGAATGCTATTTTAGAAAAAAAAATTTTTTTTTGAGTTTAAACATTAACACCATTGAATACCGGCTGTCTCAATAGTCTAATGGTTAAGTGTTCACTTGCAAGACTGAAGGCCCTGTGTTCGAATTCCGTGAGCAACATCGTGGATACACATTACTGAGGAGTCCCAAAATAGGACGAAACGACCTTTCAATACTTCAATGGTTGATCTAACATCAATCAGTTCATGATCTCAATGAAAAGCAATCTCAAACAAACAAACAAAAAACACAGAACAATACAACACTTTAACTTTTATTCACCATATTTCAATAAAATCTTCTGTACAAAGGAACAAGAAAAAAACTTCTAAATTAATCATCATTTGTTTGTATAATCATTTAGCATTTGGTTCTCATTAATCCTTTTTTGTTTCTATACAAATAACACAATAAGTAAATAAATAAATAAATAAATAAAATAGTAGCGAAGACAACGAATAGATAAGTTGGGAAAAATAAATAATTTTTACATATTGAATAATTGCATGTGTATATATATATATGTGTGTTTGTGTGTAGTGTGTGTGTGTGTGCAAGAATGTATGGTTTTGTGTGTGTAAAGTTGTTATCAAATAACCGAAGTAAACAGTTTTAATTAATGATGGTCATTCACTGGGTAAGTATAACAAGAACAAATATCATCCTTCTCCTCCTCCTCATCATCATCATCATTATCGTCGTCGTCGTCGTCATCATCATTGAAAGAAGCAATTGAAATAGAAAACATTAGAATAAACACAAAAGATAAATCTAAGAACGTTAAACAGAGGAAATAAGATTATTCTATTTTTCTTTTCTTTCTTTATTAAAAGAGTAATTGGATTGTGTTAGTTTTCTTATTTAGAATAGAACACTGTAATGATACAAACAACTGTTCTATTGAAAACATAATCATTTGTTTATAATATACAAATCAGGCTGAATTGGAATATAAAAGGACAAACAAGATATAAATATAAATATTGTGAAGTGAATGCACAAACAATGAGTGTGTGTGTGTGAGAGAGAGAGTGTGTGTGTGTGTTATTGTTTTGTTGAAATCTATCATTATCCCTATTTCATTAATATTTTATTTGTTCATAAAGCCAAATCTGTGCATAGGAATTGACAAAAAGAAAGATGAAAGTAAACTATGGTTTATAAACTAGCTATTCTTATTATATGTTGGAAACAAAGTCAAAATATTTTCATACATAGAACAGTAATGATGATGATGATTACATAATCATTTCAGTGTATTACATCTACTTAAAACGAATTCAATCTCTTAGTAACCTACTAAAGAGAAGTATTTATTATGAAATGATAAATAAATATTATAAAAGAAAATAAAACAACATTATGATAGTCATAGAATATTCCTATCATTATTTATATCCCTAATTTTTTTTTAAAAAAAAATCGACTCATGATTACGTAATATTTAAAGAATACTGTGTAACTATGAGCTCAATTTTAGAGAAGGAGGGGAGGGGAAAATATCCTATGTCAAAAAATCAATAAATAAATCAATAAACCCACAACAATCAATCAATAAAATGAGTTAATAAGTAAACAAATAAATGAAAAGATTGAAAAATTGCTCATATTTATACAAACATAAGTTTATACATTGTGAATGAAATGATAAACTTGTCAAATAGACACCTGACAACTAACTGAGAAATTATATAATAGATTTTCAACTAGTCAAGCAAATAATAATAATAATAATAATAACTAATAGGTATTACAATAATAATGAAATTGGAATGATGATTACATCACTAATTTATGAAATTGTCATTCTGTGTTGATGTGTTTATGTGTATGTGTGTGTGTGTGTGTGAAAAGACTGGGAAAATGTAAATACCATGTAATTACCAAATAACATGATTACTGTATATATAAGTTTAATACACTTGAGCATAAGTTGAACTAGAATGCTCTTCTGGACTTAATGTTATACAAAATGTTGATGATGGAGTATTAGTTAATTCATGTTCATTTAACAACATTATTGGTCTTTGTATAAATGATTGTTTACCTAATGATAATGATGTATTCAATGATTGATTTTGATATTGTTGTTGTTGTGATGGTGGTGGTGGTGGTTGTTGATGATGATGATGATGATGAGGATGATTAGAACAATTATTAGAAATATTATAATGATTTCCACTATCATCATCACTACTACAATAATTTGAGTAGTATATATTTTGTTCATTTATAGATGATTTAGGATTGTTTAATTGTACATTATTATTACTATGATGATTTGTATTAAATAGATATTCTGTTTCATTATGTTTACTAGATGTTATTATTATTGGATTAGATTGTGGAATTTGTTTCTTTTCATTCATATTTGGTATAGTTGAATGTGTTGTATGTGTTATTGATGATAATGATGATGAAGATGAATATTCTATTGGTAATTCATCAGGTTTATCTGTTTTCCTTGGTGAATATTGATAATTCATCATACTATTATTATTATGATCATAAATATCATGATTATATTTTGGTGCTGGAGGTGGTGGGGATTTTGGTGGAGGTGGTATTATTTGTTTATCATCATAACAATACAAGTATCCTTCATTCTTTTCACATTTTGATGTAAATGAATTTTGATATTGTGTTGTTCCTGCCACGGTTGTTGTTGTTGTCGCCGTCGATGCCGTTGTTGTTGTTATGATCATCTTTGAATGATTTTGTTTTAAATAATGACTCATAGGTAAATGATTTGAATTAGTTGTAATTAAATTATTATCAAATTCATTTGTTACTATATCACTTGTTATTTTCTTCCATCTATAAGATTTTTCATCATCATTTGTTAAATTACTAGATGTTGCAGAATTCGATTTATTTCTTAGATCTTGTCTTTGTGATAAATCAACTAGATCATGTTGCCCTAATGAAGAAAATTGTGATCTATTACCATTTTCTTCATTATTCATATTCATATTATTGTTGGCTTGACAACAAGGATTTGTATAATTTGTATATGATGATTGATTAGTTTGTAACTGTGCTTGATGTAAATTGATTTTATTATTTGTAGTTATAGATGGTGTTAAACTTTCATCAAATTCATAAGTTAATTCACTAGGTGTATCAATATTACCATCATCATCATCATCATCATAAACTCCATTGTTTCTAGTATAAAAATTGGTTGTATGACAATTGTTTATTGATGTATTATTAGTAGTATTCATTGTATTATGAATAAGAGATACAGTTGCATAAGGTGCTACAGTTAATTGTGGTATATTTTCATTACAATCATATATTGAATGAGAAGATGATATAGTATCATTGATATGTTGTAAGCTATTAATTGGTGCTATTGGTGCTATTAAAGGTAAACTAGTTAAACCAATTCGTGTAACTGCACAAAATGTTTGATCTATATTATTATATCCATTAGAAGGAATATTAGTATTGATTTGTGATTGTGAAATTATATGAGATTGATAACTTAAATAGGATGTACGTGATGTACAATCATTTGTGAAATGAATTAATGTATTTGGTCTTTGAAGTACAAGACGATTATTATGTACATTTGGATTTGTAATACTTTCTGCTGTAGCATATAGTCCAACATTATTTGTTTCATTTGATAGATGTGGTGCTAATAGAGTTGGATTAAATGAATTGAATTGAGTATCATTAGACTCTTTGTTATTATATTCATTATGGGAGTTATTAGTCATGTTATGTAAACTTTGATTTTGAGTAGTCGACGGATATGGACACCATCCCATATATTTCATTTTATCCATAGTTTCTAAACAATTATCATTTTCTATATTAGGTGTTTCTGATCTTAATAATGGTTCCAATTGAACATGATCTTTTTGTAAATGATGTGAACTTTTAGAAAGTTTATTTTCAATCATAGAATTATTTATACTTGTACAAGTATTATTAGATCCATTAGCTATTGAGTCACATTGTGAATTATTAGCTATGAGTACAGTACCAGTAGATTTTCTAAATCGATAACGTTGATGTCTACAACAAAATGTTATTAGAGTAATAGTAGCACACCATACTAGTAAACTGCATATAATTGTTATAATAAGCCATGGTTGATTTAGAAAATCTGCCCCTTTATCATTATGTTCTTTTCTTTCAATATTCATAAATTGTAAAAGTTTACCAGTTTGTATATCAAAACCCCAACCAACACCTAATCCTTTTTTGCGTAAATCAGGTTTTAATTGAATAGGTGCACTACGTACTCCAATTCCTTTACATGTAACTGCAGCCATTTGAACAAAATATATAGTTTTTCCAGTTAATCCTTTAATCAATGTCTTTTGTTCAGTATAAGATAAATTGAAACTTTGATGGTTACTTGCATCTTCGTCATATACATATATTATATAACCCATTAATAATCCGTTCCAATAGATGACAGGTGGTGGATCCCACGAGAGTTCTATGGTTGTGTTAGATATCCACACAGCAAATATTCTATCCGGTGGTGAACTTGGGAAGCTTTCAAAAGTTAAAACTTTAAGAGTATTACTTTCTCGGCTTTCAATACTTTCCATCAAGGAGTTAGATGAATATGCTTTAACTTTGATTTCATAACATCGAAAAGCTTCAAGATCACGTAAAAGGCTAGTTTCCTGGATTGTTAGTGAGTTGTGAATGTCACTATATTTCCTATCTTTTTGATATTGAGATTTGATATCAATGACCGTCCATGGGTCCGATGTCGTGTTATTGAATTCTTGTTCTTGTTTATTCTTAAAATTTTGTTGTAGATTTTGCATTGTTTCAAGACGAAACAGAGAATGTGAATCTATAGAAGTGGTAGATTTTATGCTACAGTACATTCTTTCTCCACTCTTCGTTGTTAGTCCAGTTGCATCTGAGTACATACCCTCCAGTTTGTTTGAAATGCACTGCATCAAGGGGACTTCTCTGTGATAAACAGAATAACCTTTTACCATTGATAGTACAGGGAGAACTTCTGTAATGGACCAGCTAACTCGCACCCTTTTAGGTGAAAGTGGATACAAATGTTGTAGTATTAAGTTAACATTTTTAAAGGACTTCAAAGCTTCTCTGTCCGATAATTGACTCTCTTGATGACTTACAACTTGTTCTTTTAGAGTTAAAACTGGACCCAGAGGAGCGCTAGCCCAACCTACTCTTCCCTCATTCCAACGAGGTCTAATTAAAAAATAATATATAGTTTCTGGCTGTAATCCTCCTAACTGTACAGTATGAGCGTGCCAATTTTTTTCAACCACTATCCATCCATCTGTTGGTCTATCAGGTCTATAGAGCTCAACCCAATAGGTAATCTGGTGAGATTTCATTGGGTTACCTTGTGTGAATTCTTGTGAGAGAAGTGGGGGAAATGGTAGATCCCAAACTAATATGACAGTCGATGACGTCACATTAGTAGCTTTTAGGTTTTCTGGCGGAGGAAGAGGATTTTCGTTGCCAATAGATGCCGTTGCGGGTGATCCTTCAGGTACAACATCTAAGTAAGAGGTCCAGTTAGATTGTAAAGTAAATGACACCGAACTACCATCTAAGTAAGGTTTGATAACTGCACTTGCAATGCATGTATAATTTCCAGAATCTTCTGTTCGTAAATTAGATATCTGAAGGCTACCTCGTGGAAGCAAAGTGTAACGCTGATCATAAGGTGGGTTTGAGTTGTCTATATTTTCCTTTACACCATCCTTCGTAGACCTATACCATCCAATAGACCAGTCAGATAAGTCTGAGTAAGGCAGTGTTGATGCCAAAGATCCAGGCAGGTCTCTAGTTAATCCCAGTTCGCAATCCAATGTGACTATCTCACCGACAGTTCGTGTTTGGTTTGCAGGTGGAAGTCCTATTATAGGGGACAGCCAATGAAAATTAGATGGAGAAAATTGTCTTGGTTCGTTTTCAGAAAGTGAATATACATCTTTCGATGAATCCAGCTTTTTCTTAGACAGGCTAATGACGTGCAATGTTGCACTCGTATGAATTGTATCGATAGATGAATGCGCTGTGCATTGATATTTACCAGAATCTTTTTGTCTGACATCTCTAACTTCTAAACTTCCTTCGGGAGTTAAATAATGTTTGCCATTATGAAATTCATTTATTGTTTGGTCACCGGGAAAAATGGGTGTTTTATCCGGAAGCTCCCAATAAATTGCTGGCAATGGATGCCCCGCAGCTACACAATGAAACACTGCAGTTTCTCCTTCGTTAACTGTCAGATCATCTGGTGTGACAGAAAATGCTGGTGGTGTATCAACTATGACCGTGGCATCAGCTTCAATACCTCCAGCAGCAGTGCAAATATATGTACCAGAGTCGGAAATCTGAGCGTTTCTAATAAGGAGATAACTTTCAGTCAATTCAGCCCGATTCGGATCTATCGGTTCTTCCCCAGGGCCTCGTTTCCATTTAACAACATGATTGCCTTGGACTTTACATTTCAGTTTTATATCACGTCCTTTCTTGACCCTAATATCTACAGGTGTTTCCAGAAATCGAGTACGTGATTTAACCATTAAATAGGCTGAAGGAGAAACTTGTTCACCGGCGATATTAGATGCCACACAAGTATATGTTCCACTGTCTTTAATAGTGACAGGATTTATATGCAAACTTCCGTCAATTGATATTTCAATATTAGACTTGAATTCATTTATCACAGAGATATTATTCCTAGGTTTTACTCCATTTTGTGCAGAAATCAAATTATTATTTTTTAACCAATAAACCTTAACTTCAGGTAATCCTATTGGAGGTATACATTCCATTACAACCTTATCACCTTCATGCACAGTTTTATCCACTGGTATTTGTTTAAATTGAGAACTTATATAAACTATACCACCACGTACTGGTGGTTGACTTATTGTCCATCCAGCTGAATTTGAAGCATTACAATAAAATGAATATAATTTACCTCTTTCAGGATTAGAAATTAAAAGTTTACCATAATGTTGATTAACATGTATACCAGATGTTGTTCCACTACTTGGTACTTCATCAATAACTTGTTTACCATTAATTGCATCATACCATACAATATTAGGTTTTGGATAACCAGTAGCTTGACATGTGAATTCAAGTATACTATCTGTTGAAAATACATCTGATGGTGAATAAGTTATGATAGGTTTGATCATATTCTTTTTAGGATCTATTTCATTTCTATACACAGTTATTCCTATTCTAAACTGAATAATTAGAATTAGATATTGATATATTAAAGTCATCATTATCTGAATAAACTGCTATTGTTATTGTTTATTGTTTACGATCAATTATAATGGATGGATTAATGGTTCCTTGAAAATTCCAGTGTCTGAATTACTAAAAGAGAAGAACAAAAGAAGAATATATACATGATGTATATTCTATGATGAAAACAAATAAAATACTTTCAACATGAAGGTGTTGTAGTGTCGGTTACTATGTTAAGCCTATATAACTTATTCTAACTGCTGAACAAACCGATTTAACCATTCGTCTTGAGTCATATATTGACCTTGTTAATTATACACTTATCAACCTTGACTATTTTTATATGAGCGTATGTGTGTGTATATATATCGCTTATTCTACTCATTAAACGGCTGTAGCTTATTTTTGTGTGACTGTACATATTGATTAATCCTTGATTACATGGAATTGGCTCAAATGCCTTCTCCATTGCGTATCATTTCGTTTCGCTTCATTCTTTTGATCATCTGCCTGGACCAATGATTGTATAAAATATATGTATTCGAAAATTCATTCTCGTATTATTCTCTAACGCCATTTAAGTCAATGATTATACACGAGGTTAGGTGACATGTACATTTCAATAGCAATCAGAAATGACTAAACTGGAGTCAGATATAAGGCCTCTAAAGAGTATTTTGATAAAAGGATAAAGAATATTTCTAGCTCAGATAGGATAACGTGATGGGGTTTGAAGCGAACAGTACTTTGGGTTCAAGTCTCAGAGTAAACATCAACCCTCTGATGCAGGTACATCCAGCTGATGAGTCCCAATTAAGACGAAACGTGCATCTTGGATTCCACTGCTAGCCACTATCCATTCTTTGAAAATGTTGATTTTGATTGGTTTAAAGTTTATCTAGTGAAAGGTGAAAGTTACCTTTTGAATTTTAAACACTTTATTTATTTAAAACATAATTTCGCATATAATACCTTCTAATTATTTGACTTCCAATTTCTGTCAAACTATTCGTTTCGATTTCCAAGTATGTTCATATAAAGTAAGACTATATTTAATTCACTTACTGTCATAATATCACAGTTTACAGATTTATTAGGTCGTAATACCCTGGTGCGGTCGAGAGTGTGGAGAGCCACCCCTTCCTCTCGAAATGCTCTCAAGTGGCCACGTGCATGCAACCTTTGACAGAGAAATCCTAATCACTGCCTTCTGATGGCAGGGGTGTTGTTTACAAAAATTAAGAAGACGAAAAGCGAATGTTCGGCACTTTAACCGATTTGGTGGATATGGAGAATCCACAGAGGGGAGTTGGGAAACCCTGATTCAAACCAATGGTCACATGAGCTCCAGGATCCTAAGGAAACAAGTGATTTATGAACCAATTATTGGTCATGGTCTACTATGGGACTGAATTTCTTTACGTTGCTTCACTACCTTGGGTATTGGACATTTAGATCAAAGGCTCGGGGTATTGCCCCTACTAAAACCACCTGCTTCGGTTTGGGCACCAGAGCAGTCTCCTAGCCCTCACATAAACCGAATAATTTATGTGGTACATATCTATTTGGTGCCTCCTTGTACCAATATTTATATGTAATAATCGTCAGATGAACTATTCAATGTTTCTTCATGGTTTTGATATGATAAACAGACTCAATGATTTGATATCTATTGTAAAAATAACTGTAAAATTTAGCAAAAAAATCACTTGTTCAACTCAATTTGTAAATCAACCATATTTGGTTGTAGTTACCAAAATCCACTAAAATATTATGTGAAATATCATTTTTAAGAAAAGCTAAAAGTAACATTGAGAGTGCAATTAACAACAAATCGTTGTCTCTTTTAAGACGATAGTTACCAACCTTTACGCGAACTCCAGTAGTCACTAATTACCTACTCAGTAACTAAACAGTTAAATTTCCTGAATAAAATCTTACTCAATAACAAGTGTCAAACACTATCAAAGTCAAAATCTTCAATACGAATGTTGAGACACTCAGTTCTACTGTACGGAACTGAAAATTGGAGAACTACTACAACCATCATCAAGAAGATACAAGTATTTATAAATAGTTATCTACACAAGATACTCAACATCCATTGACCGGATATCATCAACAACAGTCTACTGTGGGAGAGAACAAACCAGCTTCCAGCTGAAGAGGAATTTAAGACAAGACGTGGAATTGGATAGGACATACATTACGGAAATCATCAAAGTACATCACGAGACAAGCCCTAACTTGGAATCCTGAAGGGAAACAAAAAAAGGAAGGTCAAAGAACACTATGTGTCGAGAATTGAAAGAAATCATGAAAAGGATGAACGTCAACTAGAAAGAACTGCAAAAGATTGCCCAAGACAAGGTTGGATGATAAGTACTGGTGGGTGGTCTATACTTCTCCATGAGGGATAACAGATGTAAGTAACTAACCAACTAACTCATACTTTATTTTTTCCAAAAGTGCCATATAAATTTTCGAAAATTCCATTTCCAACATTTTCAACCATTCAATTCTAATCAAATAACATTTATTTAACATATGGTCTGAGCCATGTTGGTAGATGCAAACTACTTGGTTGGCGTCCGCTTGACTATCGTAACCAATGGTTGGAGACTCTAGGTGACATGGCTCAGAATCGATCACAATGGTGTAGGTGCATACTCTCTCTGTCTTTCCTTAAACTATGAGATTATAATCGCTTCATATCTTTCTTTCTACGAACTAATTCTCTCTTTCTGTACTATATCCTTATATGCGATCTTTCTTTTATATATTACCACCTCTGACTTAACTACTTCTCTGAATCCTATGTTCATCGTGTTGTGTTAATGCGGTATGGCAACCTGGACCGATGCATATATGTGCCTAGTCCTTCATTACAGCTGACTGACTAACTGACTGATAAATAACATTTATAACTACTTTACATTATTTTCTTCTTTTTACATAATTTCAATGATAATGATCAGATAACATTAGTTACTGTTAAATATTTCTATTCAACTCATTCTATTGAAATTTCAACAAACTTTCATATTACCTAATATACAAGTAAAAAGAAAAAAGAAGAAGAAAAAGAAAAGCGAACGTAAAAAGAAAAGAAAAAAGAGAAAAGAAGAGAAAAAAAGTACCACTTTCCACGTCACTTTCTTTTCTTATTTTACATATCATAGTAACTAATTTATCATTTAAGTTGAGACAAACCAACAACAAAAAAGATCTACAATTGAACTAAAAATGATGAACAGTTGTTCATTTAAATGATTAAGATTATTTTATGAATATTCCTTAACAGATCATTTAATACAATTAAAGAAAGGGTTTTGTGGAGATTTTTTAGAAATTTCACAAGTTGAAATCATGAGTCAGTTGAAGCTAGACCACCATTGAAAACCTGGAAGCAGTGGACGGCCGTTTCGTCCTAGTATGGGACTCCTCAGCAGTGCGCATTCACGAACCCGCCCCCCCCACGGGATTCGAACCCAGGACCTACTGGTTTCGCGCGTGAGCACTTAACCACTAGACCACTGAGCTTTCATACAACGGTGTTGATGTCTAACTTCAACCAATCCACGAAGTTGCGCCATCGAACACCATTGTCTTCAATGAGTTCCTATCTCACAACAGACCTGGTTGAACTCCACTGGTAACGACTTCTCACTAGAACTCCAGGAGTATTTAGACATTAACACCATTGGATGCCGGCTCAGTGGTCTAATGGTTAAGTGCTCACGTGCGAAGCCAGTAGGTCCTGCGTTCCAATCCCGCAGAGGGCGGGTTCGTGGATACGCACTGCTGAGGAGTCCCATACTAGGACGAAACGGCCGTCCAGTGCTTCCAGGTTTTCCATGGTGGTCTTGCTTCAATTGGCTCATGATTTCAACTTGTGAAATTAAAGAAAGATTTAAAAGAATTCAAAGACAAAAGAGAGAGAGAAAAAGAAGAGAAGTTCACATTGCTTTGCATCAATAGAAATAAATATTACAATATAAACGTTTATATTTCAATAGTTGAGATCATGAGTCGATTGAAGTTAGATAACTTTGGAAAACTTGGAAGCACTGAATTTTTGTTTCTTTCTAGTATGGGATTCCTCTGAATTGTGCGGTTCAACCGGGTCTGTTGTGAGATAGTAACTCACTGAAGATAATAGTGGATGTGTCGTTCAATTTCATGAATTGTTTAAAGTTAGATAGTGACATTGATGGATGCCGGTCGGCTCAGTGGTGTAGAGGTTAAGTGTTCACGCGCGAGACTGATAGGTCTTGGGTTCAAATCTCGTTAGGCGAGACTGTGGATATTCATTGCTGAGTAGTCCCACAGTAGGACGAAACGGCCATCGAGTGCTTCCAGGTTTTCCATGATTGTCTAGCTTCAATTAACCGATGAATACAACTATAAAATTACTAAAATCTCCATAAAATTCCCTTTCGATATAAATATTATTAGTCAAATCCTCAATCAATATGGCCCATCAATAATTTTTCATGATTCTTACTCGACTAAACAACACACGTTATAATTTCTGTGTATTATTTTTGAGAACTAGTATAATAAGTTATGTATATTCTTATTTAAAGCGATATTTCTTGAAGGATAAGCTTATATTATAGAATCCATTTGTTTTACGGTTGATGGCTTATGTAATAAAAATTACTCTGAATGAAACCATGTACTATTGACTAAATGATTATTTAAAACCATTACTCCGCTTGATAACTTTGGATAATATAATAAGAAAGCAAAGGTTATCTTGTTGACCATTTGTTTGTTTTTTCGTATATAATGTCTTAGCAAGTATTGGTCCACCCCACCACTTACTATCATAATATCATAGTTTACAGATTTATCAGGTCGTAATACCCTGGTACAGTCGAGAGTGGTGAGGGTCAGCTCTTTGTCTCTCCAAATACTCTCACATGGCCACATGTATATAACCACTGACAAGGAAATCCTACTCACTGCCTCCTCGCAACACGGGTGTTGTTTTTACGAAATTGAGAGGACAAAAGATAAATATCCGGTGCTTCAACCAGGTTGGTGGACACGTAGAGTTCACCGACAAGAGTCATTAGCTACTTTAATGGTGATTACTATTCCTATAATCAACCA